GGGAGTATCATGCTTTATAAATTAATCATCTGTAAGAACTGGGAATTGATTTCCAGGCTTTGAACAATCACAGTGTGATTTTGTCATGGTAATACTGTATATGATTCATTGAAGAATAGTTGAATTTAACAATGCTCTATAAAAATGTATCCTTGGAATTCAAATGATATTTATGAAATCCTTGAATTTTTTAAAACTTATGTAAGGATTATTCGTGAATTTCATGATCCAACAGGTTCAAATTAGAAAAAATAGAATATCTGGGGGAAATAATATTTTCAATGTGCATATAATAATTCTGTTTGGATACAAACTTTAAATTTTTCTTGAAGAAACTTTTCGAGAATTTCACAAAAAAATTATCCAAGAAGAATATACTGTATTTTTTTATCTTCAGCATATTCTGCAAACATGATGTTCTGGAATATGCACCTCAAGATACAAATTATCAGTCTTTTCCAATTTCACAGAAGAAAATCGAATACACTTTTCAAATTGAAACTAACCCTGGTTTAATATGATATATTGTTCATTCAACATTCTCAAAGGTACTGGTACAATTTTCAAACCTTAAATAATCAGGAACCGGGAATTTGAATTTTCCTGATTTAAGGATTCAAGGATTCATGCCATTTTCTATTAAAAAAAATAATAATTTCTTAAATGAATAAGGAATATTTTTTATGAAATATAAAGGGGAGAATGATATGAATTGAGAACTCAGGATTTTTGAAAAGAAAAAAGTCTGATGTTTCACATTTTGCCTGTACATGAATCAAATCACTGCCTGGTGAAAAAAGTTTTGTTGACTAATTTTTATTTTTGACTTTCTGAACATTGTGTCAGAAAATTTCAAGAGCATGAATAAAAAACTTGGTCTTGAAGTGGCTCAACATACCCAGAATAATGCAATGTTTTGCTTTGACAAATTATTATATTGTTGAAGTTTTTCAAGAAAAAATCAAAGATAACTTCACAAGGACAATATACACTGTACATATTTTGATTTTATTATAAACCTTCAGGGGGATTTCCACCTTAATTTCAAAAATGCAGCTTTTGAATTTTTGAAAAATACACTTGCTTGTAAATAAAATGCTCCTTTCCAGTCAGATATAAATGCAATAAAAAATGCAAAGGTCATTGAACCCACTTTGCAGCAATTGCGCAACAGAATCCAGAAATTTTCAAATTGATATCACTGCTCAATAATGGCAGATGAATAAGAGAAACTGCCCCATTATGTAAGACTGGGATACTTTTGAGAGTTACTTATACTGTACAGTAAATAATGCACACAGAGATACCATTGAACCAATTTGTTTGGCTGAAGCTAATGCCCATATGAAATGAGACTCAAACTTTCAAAGACTGTGAATTGAGATTCAGAAAAGATGCATCTCACCATGACTCAGAACTCAACATTTGAAATTCTGAAAATTGAATACTTTTCTGCATACAATCTAACTTCCTCTTTGTTACACATATCTTGAAACAGAATGGAAATTGATTTTTCATTTCCTATAATTGGATCATTATGATGATTGAAAAGCACTTCCAAATACACAAATTGTTTCCACTGATGGAAGGATACAGAATGAAAAAAATCATACAGTCACAGTCAGTGCTATAACACCAATGTAAACACCATCATGTATGTGTATATACAGCATGTACACCACTGAACCTGATCTGTCTGAAACAAGTGTTAAGAAAATGTTGGCTCTCTCTCTCCTTCTCTTTGGGGTTAGAATGAAAATTGTTACACTCTAAATGCCTCAACAAATTAATCTTTGAGAAACATTCCAAACTTTTTAGCAGGAAAAAAATGTGCACTTTTAGTGTGAATAAGGATTCTAAGGAAATATATTCAAGCATCCATCAAGGGACTAGATTTTTTTTCTTATATAAAATCTGTGTATTTCAACCAAAATTCAACTTCCTGCCTGAACAAATTTTCAAATAACAATTTAAATCATTTAAACAACTCAATTAGATCTCAAGAATTCGAAAACACACCCACAATGATAAATTTCGCGGAGAAATGAAGAAATGGGAGGCGTTTAAAAAAAAGGACACTGTCCCATTCAGGGCTATAATACTGTTTATGCCAGTACCAATAAGGGAGCCTCATGCTGTATGCTCGCATGAAGAAGACGACTGAACCTGGGTCTGTACATCTCAACGAACCCAAAATACTGTACTGTACTGTATCATTGTAACCATCAGTAAAAGGTGGGGCACTCTTCGCAAGTAGGAGAGAAATGCTGCGACGCGCGGAATGCGACAGGCACGTGGCACAATGGACGCGCCGGCGCGTCAACCACCCCCTTTTTTTTCCTTCTTCTTTTCACGACACACTCAAAACGATCGCCGTTAAATCGAGAATTTCTCCCTTTTTTTCGAATACTGTTCTTCCGCCTTTGGGTCTCGACCACGGAGAAGATTCCGGCTGCTTGATGAACCGCGCGCATGTGAATGAAAGCGACAAGCAGTTGGTCCGCTATTACCTTGAGAGCGAATATGAAGAGCGCGCGCGAGTTGCCCAAGAGGGCTTCATCTTTCTTACATTCCTCATCATGACGAGTAGAGCGACATCTAGTCATCAAGAACGGCGAATTGAGCCGCTCGCGAAGTTGTCTACTACTTTCACCGAGGTCGCGCCTGCAGCAATCCCTTAATTTTTCATCTTCTACATACAGCGACATCTATGTTTTAACGACGGCGAAACTTGCCATCACGTAGTTTCTCTTTGTCCCTACGCGAGGTCGCGCTTGTCGCCGTGTCACGTCGAGGTCGGAAAACGTGGACCTCAGATTCCTTCGCGATATGAACGAATATTCTTGTACAATTACTGAATAATAATAAAAAATAGAAGCACGGAAGCTGGAAAGTTGTTTTCTATTGTAGGTATCGTATAGCGTAGTTTCCGAGGAGGAGGATTTCGGGTTTTGGAGGAACTTTCTGGGCTTAATTAGAAAAACAGGTACGTAAGAAGATAACCTGATGCGGTGGTCACTGCGTGTCAACTTGAAGTGATGCATCACTCACCGGCGGGAGATCCGGTTCCTGCGAAACCAATTACGGTGCATTTTTATCTCAAGAATTAACGCTTTGGTTGTCAATTTCGAAACCTACAGTCTATCAAACTTATTTTATATGTCGCTCAAGATTATTTTTAATCATCAAATCTTGAAAATTCGAAAAAAGGACACTTTAGGAGGTTGTATTTCTGTGGTAACTGACGAAGGACCGTGCGCAGGCGCCGACCTGATGGAGAGGGAGTGTAAGGTCTATCGGTAACCGGTCAGTCGCAGAGCGCCCGTTGGCTGGAGAAAATTTTGCAACAATGAGCATCAGCCGAAATCATTAAATTCAGTGGGGTCTTGGCTAACGAAAATTTTGGTTTAAAAAAAATGTGGTCGACAAACTTTGCTTTTTGGGTTCGACTGCCTTGGGTAACAAACCATGACTTGATGGTTTACAATGGTTTGGGGTTCAAACAGGCAGGCCTCCCAAAATGCTAGCTTAATTGGGTCTAGAATTGGCACCATATATTTCCCAGGGGCTATTTCTTGCTCTTCTACAGGTTTGAGGTAGGAATAAAAGTAATAAAATGATTCTTGCATGATTTTGACTTTTAATGTAACAGTTATGTTTAATTTTTCATATTTATCTCTTGATAATTTTCTCAATCACGAAAACAAAGTACTTTAACGAGACTAAAATCTACATCAGAAATATCTATTAGGTGGATTTATATCGTAATAAGTGGACAGGAAACACAAGAAATAAGACAAATGTCTGTGTTCATCGACTTTTTAGCAGAGTATAAGGATTGACTAAGAGGCTCTTTCTTACAGGCTCCTGTCTTCATCAACACTTCTTCGAGCTTTGCTTCTAATTTTTTCAAGAAGAAGTTCTTGATTTTTGGCCCAATAAAAAGTTTGGGTAAGATTATCATTGTTGATTTTCCTAGGCACTTTCAATAAGGTTCTGGAACTAATTTGAATGATTCCTGTAATTTTTCGAGGGGCGAATGTGATTTGGTTATCAAGCTTTGCTCAGGAATGGATCAAGTTTGTCAATCAACACCCCAAAGAAGATATTTTTGGTCTCCACAAGAGACACATTTGAAACGTTTTTTCAAAAAGTGTTTGTCATTCTTTTGGTCATTTAATCTGAATATATGTTTTCTGGATATGGTCAATTTTTTTGTATAGAAAGTGTTGACCCCACCTCCTTTCATCTCTGACATCCTTCTTAGGCTCCTGTCTTCAGCAACACTTCTTTGAGCTTTGCTTCTATTTTTTCAAACAAAGTTCTTGACTTTAGACACAATACATATTTTGGGTAAAATTTTGTGGATTTTCATTGTCCCTTTCAAGGTTCTGAAACCAATTGAAATTATTCCTGTAATTTCTTGAGGGAAAATGTGATTTTGATAACAAACTTATAGGTTGTAAACTTGATCCATTCCTGAGCAAAGTTTGTTTACCATACTACTATATATATACATATTTTTTATTACCACCAAAGACAAATTTGAAAAATCGTACAAGTTTTCTTTTTTCAAAACTTTTTGTCATTTTTTTGGTCATTTAATACGAATATTTTTGCACTGTATATTATTCTCCAGAGAGTCGTCGTCCAGCGATAGATAGATCACCGTCCCCCCGCATCCTGCAGTTATAGGTCTGATGATCGACGGGGAGGGAGTGCGACTGACCGGTTCTGGTACTCACCCTCCACCCTGGTCGCGTCATTTTCAGTCCGTCATCAACTCTCGTGCGAGTTGGTGCTCGCAATTTTCCGCGAGCGTTGTTCATTATTTCAAAATGAAGTGCGTGACGTCATAACGTTCTCTCTCGTTCGCCGTGCTTTTTTGTGGCATCATCCGTGACGTTTGGATCGTTCCTTGCAGAATTGTGTTGGTTACCGAGTTTTTCCTTCAGTGACGTTATTTCGTTTGGACATCGTACACACGAATAAGATACGATATGTGTTTGAGCAAGACGGGACCCGGGCCGAATGCCGGCAAACTCGTCCTTGAGGATGGGACGGAATTCAAGGGGGTTCTGTTCGGGGCTAAACGGGCGACGGCAGGGGAGATCGGTGGGTTTCTTTTTCTTTCTCTGAGCACAAGACTTTTTTTTGCCATTGTTTCTTTTCATGTTCTTCTTATTCTACTAACTAACAGACATATTACGGGGCCTGACCACTTAAAAAAAAATCACAAAGTCTGCCCCTACCAACCGATGGGGCTCAGGTACTGCCTAGGCAGAATAGTACGGGTCTAGAAAGTCTTCACTTATCCCCTGATTGGGAATTATGGGGTTCCTGATCCCGACGCTGAGGATGACCTGGGGCTGAAGAAGTGAGTCATTATTCCAAGAAAAAAGGTCATTGTTTTCTTTAAAAAAAACAATAGCGTTAAATATAATTAGGTAAACCCCCATATAATCATTGATGGAATCTCCCCAAGTAAAAAATGATACCTCCGCATGTCCTTGTCTGAATTCACTTAGAAAATACCTAAAAAATCACCCTTAGTTTAAGGCTCTGCTGTTATTTTATTGACAAAGGAGAGAGTAACGCAGTACAAATATTAACAATGTGTTTTGAAAGTAAGTGAAAGACTCTTGCTCAAAGTCAAATCAACTCCTGCTTTCAAGTTCAGAATCCTGTCAACTAATGCAAATTAGGAATAAGGGGATCAGAATATCAATTATCATTTTTTTATTCTTGCTTTCTTTCCCAAAGAAGCTTGTTTTCTCACTCAGATTTTTGCTGGTCCCTTAAGTTTGACTTTTTAGAAGTTTAACTGATCAGAAATCTGGACCATTAACTTAGTATAATGTACAGTAAAGTCAGAGGTTTCTTAAACTTATGGAGAAAAGTTGCTGCATTCTCCACCACAGGAAGAATATCCGAAAATTTATAGAACAAAGACAACCTCTACAGATGAATTTATTCAAAGTTGATATATAAAATGCCCTCTATTGGGAATTTTTCCAGAAAAATGCAGAATTTTCAATTTTTCTGACATCTCAAATCATACAAATGCTCAGACAATAGAATAACCCTGATTTTTTTTTAAAATGAAATTTACAATTAAAGCTGGAAATGTAGGGTGTTCTGGGCAAATTATTCTTTTGGGAAGTAAAGAAGTTGTAAAAAGAGGAGGTAGATCACACAGAAGACTGATCAGTGTGATTTGTCAAATTATCAAAATTCTATGTATGATATTGTTTACTTATTCTTCATGAAATCCATTCCATACTTTCTCAGGCTAAGAAATACTAATGGAAGTTAAATTAAGGAAGATACTTTCTTGCCATTTTGAATTTTTTCAATATCCTATACATGCCTGAAATATATCATAATTTCAAAAAGGAATCTCCATTTTGAAATGAAATTGACAAAAGTGGTAAAACTTTACCCTGCAGAATTTTATGTTTTCCTCTTGATTTATTCTCAAATATTAAGTTTTACTTTTTTGAAAAATTAGATTTGTGGAGTCCTGGAGGATGTGGCCATGTGCAGTGGTGGTGGGAGAAGTGTGTGAGCAACCTTCACACTGGAACTCCAAGTACACTTTCCATGAATGGCTAGTCAAGGAAGGAGTGACTGGGATCTCAGGCATTGACACAAGAGCCTTGACTCAAAGGATCAGGACAGAGGGATCCATGTTGGCCAAGATAATCATTGATGAAGATCCCCCTGGAGACAATATTCCCTTTGTTGACCCCAATGCCAGGAATCTGGTTGCTGAAGTCTCCTATCCTGTGAGTGCACTTATTGTCAATTTATTTTCTCAGCCTTTCATATAAGATGATCTAAATAATTAAGGCACTTTTCTTGATCACCAATTAAGCTTACAGCAGGACAAACTAAAATTTAGAATCACTGGAACTGATTTTTTTTCTGAATCAGAGCACTTCAATCATTTAAGAAGGTTCCTAACTTTTTGCTGCATATTTGGACTTATGTCATCCTCACTTCCTTTGTCTTCTCTCCATTTTAACTTGAGATGTGAGCAAAAAATTTGAATAATAATTTTTGAAAAAATTTGAATAATAATTTTTTAAAAAATTTGAATAATAATGTTTGAAAAAATTTGAATAATAATTTTTGAAAAAATTTTTTCAAATTTTCCAGCATGAAAGGACCAAATTTTGACTATGGTTTGACATAAATCATGGCTTGACATAATTTGAGTCATTTATTTCAGGTAAAAAGAGTTTTCAACCCAGAAGGAGAACTGAGAGTCTTGGCAGTTGACTTGGGCATCAAGAGTAACCAGATCAGATGCCTGGTGAAACGGGGGTTCAGTGTGACTGTTGTGCCCTGGGACTATGCAGGACTAAGTCATCAAGACATTTTCCAGGACTATGATGGACTGTTTCTCTCCAGTGGTCCTGGGGATCCACAAATGTGCTCCACCACTATTGAGAATTTGAAACAGGTTTTGAATGCACCAAAGCCCTTTCCAGTGTTTGGCATTTGTCTGGGTCACCAGTTGCTGGCTGTGGCTTTGGGCTGTTCTACCACAAAAATGAAGTAAGTTTAACCCCTTACATGAAACAATGAGTAATCTGTTCCAAAATGGACAAATTCCTATGTTTTCTGAAATGTTTTTTCAGGATTTTATTTTTTAAAGAAACATTTTCTAAACTTTAAACTCCATCTTTTAAAATTCAATGTGTTCAGACAATGTTTTTTGTGATTTACTTTTTCCTCTATGAAATTTTGAATGATATTTTTTGCTTCTAGGAAAAATATNAAGAAGAATAAGATGATTGATTGTCTGTATAATGCCCCGGACTGGTGAATTTTTTTTTAGTGTTTCAGACGGGGATGGTTGGCTACCCCGAGTCCATGACGGATCCGTCTTATCATGCCCAGATCTTGGTCTTCACTTATCCCCTGATTGGGAATTATGGGGTTCCTGATCCCGACGCTGAGGATGACCTGGGGCTGAAGAAGTGAGTCATTATTCCAAGAAAAAAGGTCATTGTTTTCTTTGAAAAAAACAATAGCGTTAAATATAATTAGGTAAACCCCCATATAATCATTGATGGAATCTCCCCAAGTGAAAAATACCTCCTCATGTCCTTGTCTGAATTCACTTAGAAAATAATACCTTAAAAATCACTTTAAGTTGAAGGCTCCCCCCACTTCAACCTCGAATAAGTCACATTTTCAGGAGGCCTTTTTGCTGCTATTTTTTTTTTTTTACAAAGGAGAGAGAAAAGCAATGAAAACATTAACCTTATCTGTTCTGAAAGTAAGTGAAAGACTCTTGCTCAGAGTCAAATAAACTCTTGCTTTCAAGTTCAGCATCCAGTCAACAAATGCAAATCATGAATTTGACGATCAGAATATCATCAATTATACTTTTTTGTGATTCTTGCATTCTTTCCCATAAAAGCTTGTTTTTCTCACTCAGATTTTTGCTGGTCCCCTGAAGTTTGACTTATTAGAAATTCAACTGATTAGAAATCTGGACTTCTAACTTAGCATGCTGCACAGTAAAGTAAGATGTTTCTTCAACTTTTGGAGGAAATTGGCTGCATTCTTCACCACAAGAAGTATATCTGAAAATAAAGACAACCTCTCAAGATGAATTATAAAAATTTGAAGTATAAAATGCACTCTACTGGGAATTAAAAAAAATGACAGAAGTTTCAATTTTTCTGACATCTCATGTCATATAAAAATGTTCAGGCAATAGAATAACCCTGAATTTCGTTTTTTTCATGAAATTTACAATTGAAGCTATAAATGTAGGGTGTTCTGGGCAAATTATTCCTTTGGAATGAAGTAAGGTGAAAAAACTGGAGTTGAATTACACAGAGGAGAAGACTTAACAGAGTGATGTCAAATTATCAAAATCTATGATTTACTCATTATTCTTCATGAAATCCATTCCATTCTCTCTCAGGCTAAGAAGCACTGATAAAAGTTGAAATAAGGAAGATAATTTTTAGCCATTTTGAATTTTTTTCAATATCCTATACATGCCTGAAATTTATCATAATTTCAAAAGGGAATTTGCATTTTGAAATCAACCTGACAAAAGTGGTAAAAAATTTACCCTGCAGAATTTTATGTTTTCCTCATGATTTATTTTTCAATATTATTTTTTACTCTTTTGAAAAATTAGATTTGTGGAGTCCTGGAGGATGTGGCCATGTGCAGTGGTGGTAGGAGAAGTGTGTGAGCAACCTTCACACTGGAACTCCAAGTACACTTTCCATGAATGGTTAGTCAAGGAAGGAGTGACTGGGATCTCAGGCATTGACACAAGAGCCTTGACTCAAAGGATCAGGACAGAGGGATCCATGTTGGCCAAGATAATCATTGATGAAGATCCCCCTGGAGACAATATTCCCTTTGTTGACCCCAATGCCAGGAATCTGGTTGCTGAAGTCTCCTATCCTGTGAGTGCACTTATCGTCAATTTTTTTTCTCAGCCTTTCATTTAAGATGATCTGAATAATTAAGGCACTTTTCTTGGTGACCAATTAAGCTTACAGCAGGACAAACTAAAATTTAGAATCACTGGAACTGATTTTTTTTCTGAATCAGAGCACTTCAATCATTTAAAAAGGTTCCTAACTTTTTGCTGCATATTTGGACTTATGTCATCCTCACTTCCTTTGTCTTCTCTCCATTTTAACTTAAGATGTGAGCAAAAAATTTGAATAATAATTTTTGAAAAAATTTGAATAATAATTTTTGAAAAAATTTGAATAATAATGTTTGAAAAAATTTGAATAATAATTTTTGAAAAAATTTATCCAAATTTTCCAGCATGAAAGGAAAAAATTTTGACCATGGTTGAAAAACTCATAGCTTGACATAATTCGAGTTATTTATTTCAGGCAAAAAGAGTTTTCAACCCAGAAGGAGAACTGAGAGTCTTGGCAGTTGACTTGGGCATCAAGAGTAACCAGATCAGATGCCTGGTGAAACGGGGGTTCAGTGTGACTGTTGTGCCCTGGGACTATGCAAAAAAAGAGTTTTCAACCCAGAAGGAGAACTGAGAGTCTTGGCAGTTGACTTGGGCATCAAGAGTAACCAGATCAGATGCCTGGTGAAACGGGGGTTCAGTGTGACTGTTGTGCCCTGGGACTATGCAGGACTAAGTCATCAAGACATTTTCCAGGACTATGATGGACTGTTTCTCTCCAGTGGTCCTGGGGATCCACAAATGTGCTCCACCACTATTGAGAATTTGAAACAGGTTTTGAATGCACCAAAGCCCTTTCCAGTGTTTGGCATTTGTCTGGGTCACCAGTTGCACCGACACCGAAACCCGACAAGATGGTGTTTTTACTTCATTCAAATTGGGGAATGTACTTTGTTACTCATTAGACAAGGTTTTACCTGTTTAAGGATACAAAAGACTTTACAAAAAAGTCCTAAAATTTTTTTAAAGAAACATTTTCTAAACTTTAAACTCCATCTTTTAAAATTCAATGTGTTCAGACAATGTTTTTTGTGATTTACTTTTTCCTCTATGAAATTTTGAATGATATTTTTTGCTTCTAGGAAAAATATACATTGGTTCAGACAAATGAGGCAAAAAAGGCAAAGGAGTCAAAAATGGTATCAAGAAATAAACAATTAAGGCTGTCATGATTATTTTGTATATTTTTTCATTTAAATCTCACTAGGATTTAATTTTGAATGATCAAACATCCAATTCCTCCTAGAGTTTAAGAAAAATATCAATAAAGAGTGCAAATATTTCAGTGAATTTATTTATTGAAGATGTGGCATTTTATGGTGAAATATTTGACCTTCTGAAGGTTATAAGAGACACTGTTTTGTTTTAGGACTATTATGTTCTCAAGTCATTTCTATTGATGTCTGTAAATTTGATGTTCTTCAGGTTTGGTAACAGAGGACACAATCAGCCATGCACTCACCATGATTCAGGACATTGCTTCATCACCAGTCAATGGCTGTGGCTTTGGGCTGTTCTACCACAAAAATGAAGTAAGTTTAACCCCTTACATGAAACAATGAGTAATCTGTTCCAAAATGGACAAATTCCTATGTTTTCTGAAATGTTTTTTCAGGATTTTAATTTTTAAAGAAACATTTTCTAAACTTTAAACTCCATCTTTTAAAATTCAATTGTCTGTGTTCAGACAATATTTTTTGTGATTCACTTTTTCCTCTATGAAATTTTGAATGATATTTTTTGCTTCTAGGAAAAATATACATTGGTTCAGACAAATGAGGCAAAAAAGGCAAAGGAGTCAGAAATGGTATCAAGAAATAAACAATTAAGGCTGTCATGATTATTTTGTATATTTTTTCATTTAAATCTCACTAGGATATAATTTTGAATGATCAAACATCCAATTCCTCCTAGAGTTTAAGAAAAATATCAATAAAGAGTGCAAATATTTCAGTGAATTTATTTATTGAAGATGTTGCATTTATTTATGGTGAAATATTTGACCTTCTGAAGGTTATAAGAGACACTGTTTTGTTTCAGGACTATTATGTTCTCAAGTCATTTCTATTGATGTCTGTAAATTTGATGTTCTTCAGGTTTGGTAACAGAGGACACAATCAGCCATGCACTCACCATGATTCAGGACATTGCTTCATCACCAGTCAGAACCATGGGTATGTTGTGGAACCTGAAAACCTTCCTCCTGGTTGGTCAGTGTCTTTCACAAATGCCAATGATGGCACCAATGAAGGACTGGTTCATGACACCAAACCTATCTTCAGGTGAGTTTATTTTTTCAGTTTTAGTACAGTATCCCTTTTCAATGAATAGAATGAACCTTGTATGTGCAAGATTGAAATTGTATATTATAAAAATGGGTTTTTGCAGTGTTCAGTTCCACCCAGAACACAAGGCTGGTCCACAAGACCTGGAGTGTCTCTTTGATGCATTCAAGACTCTGGTGGAGGCCAAGAGGCAAAACCGTCATTTGGGCACAAGGTCTCTTCTCAAGGAAATCCTGAGCTTGAAGACAGAAATTCCTGAACCCCCTGGGTTTGTAGGGAAACGTGTCCTGCTGTTGGGTTCTGGTGGGTTGTCCATTGGTCAAGCAGGAGAGTTTGACTATTCTGGGTCACAGGCTGTGAAAGCACTCAAGGAAGAAGGCATTCATACTATTTTGGTCAATCCCAATATTGCCACTGTGCAGACTTCCAAGGGTCTGGCTCACAAGGTCTACTTTTTGCCCATCACTCCAAAATATGTGGAACAGGTGTGTATTTGACTGTCTTGATATAAAAAAGTGTGCATGTAATTATAAATCAGTGTATAATTTATTGAAAGGAGTGCATGAATTTTTCAATGCCATTTTGTGTTTCTTTCCTTGATTTGACTGGTGAAAGTTGAAGGTTGAATGAAGCTTTCAATTCCAAGTAACCTAAAGAAATGGTTCTCTCTTACATACTGTAATAAGATAATATTTTGCATCTTCAATTAATCTGAAAAATGCTCATCTATGCCTTTTCAAAGTAGAAGTATAAGGTAAAAGAACATTTTAGAAAATCTAAGTAAATTGATGGCTGTAAATTGCCAATGAATTGTCATTGAATGTGCAAATAAATAGAAAGTTATGCCCCATCAGATAATATTGAGTGAAGATGCATGCAGGAAAACATTTATTTGCTTATATTATTCTTCAAAAAGATACATGTTCAATGTCAATTTTTATGTAAATCAGTTGAGAGATCAAGGCAACATGGATGGTGATTTTTTGCTTCAATTTCACAGGTTATTCAAGCAGAAAGGCCTCAGGGGATCCTCTTGACCTTTGGTGGCCAAACAGCACTCAATTGTGGCATTGAGCTTCAAAGGGCAGGAGTATTTGAAAAGTACAATGTCAAGATCCTGGGATGTTCCATTGATGTCATTGTGAGCTGTGAAGACAGGAAGTTGTTTGCTGAGAAAGTGGCTGAAGTGGGGGAGAAAGTGGCGCCCTCTAAGATCTGCTACTCTGTCAAGGATGTGGGTTTTTATAAAAAAATTGAATAATTAATTTTCCCTTAGCATTTATTATTTTATTATTTCATGTTAGGAAGTACCAAACACTGTATACATTTAAGAATTATATACTGTTTAAAAGAAAATTTAAAGCTGAGATTGAAAATGGTTTTTGCTGTTCAGTAAAAGTTTTTTCCTCATCTCATGCTTAATTTTCTGTCACATATCTGCAAACATTTTTGAAAATTGAGATTTGCTGGAGGGGTTTCAAGCTTCAAATGCTTATATAATATATTTTATTTTCAAAAGTTTTTATATTTTTATTCACAGTATTATGAATTTCATTTTTTGTGTGTTTTTTTGTCAGTGTTTGGAAGCTGGGACTGACATTGGTTACCCAGTGATGGCCAGGGCTGCTTTTGCACTTGGAGGCCTGGGATCTGGATTTGCCAACAATCCTGCACAACTCACCAAGATAGTGACCCCAGCTTTCCAGCACACCCCTCAAATAATCATAGACAAATCCCTCCAAGGCTGGAAAGAAGTGGAATATGAAGTAGTGAGAGACTCCAAGGACAATTGCATTGTCATCTGCAACATGGAGAACCTGGATCCCCTGGGGATCCACACTGGAGAGTCCATTGTGGTGGCACCATCTCAAACCCTGTCCAACACTGAATACAATGTCTTGAGATCCTGTGCCATCAAGGTTGTCAGACACTTGGGCATTGTTGGAGAGTGCAACATCCAATTTGCACTGAATCCAGACAGTGAAGAGTTTTATATTATTGAAGTGAATCCAAGGTTGTCCAGGAGTTCTGCACTGGCCAGCAAGGCCACTGGGTATCCCCTGGCCTATTTTGCTGCCAAGCTGGCCCTGGGTGTGTCCCTGCCAATGCTGAGAAACTCTGTGACTGCTTGTGCAACAACTGCTTGTTTTGAGCCAAGTTTGGATTATTGTGTGGTCAAAATCCCGCGCTGGGACCTGAGCAAGTTCAACAGGGTCAGTGCCAAAATTGGCAGCTCTATGAAAAGGTAGGTTTATAGATTATTTTTAAAATTTGGTTGAAGAGTTTTATTTTTATATTTTTGTTTGCAGTGTTGGTGAAGTCATGTCCATTGGGAGAACATTTGAAGAAGCTTTCCAGAAGGCTCTCAGGATGGTGGATGAGACTGTGTCAGGCTTTGACCCAGATTTGCAGCCAGTGTCAGAAGAAGACCTGCAGTATCCCACTGACAAGAGAGTGTTTGTGCTTGCAGCTGCATTGAAGGCTGGCTACAGTATTGCCAGACTCTATGAGCTCACCAAGGTGGACAAGTGGTTTTTGTACAAACTGAAGAACATTATAAGTATGCAGGCTGACCTGGGGTTGCTGAGGAAGGGCTCCAGGATGCCTGAGGTTGATTTACTTCTGAGGGCAAAGCAACTGGGGTTTTCTGATGCTCAGATTGCTGAATATGTTGGCACCACTGAGCAGGCTGTGAGGAAGCTGAGGAAAAATCTTGGTGACTATATATACATACATTTGCATTTTCTTTCCATCATGATTGCACATATACAATGTGTGCAATAGTTGGTTAATGATGGTGCTCAATTTGGAAAAATAATTCCTGATCAATTCATGCCTGTTCCCATAATTGCTTGCTCAACTAATTTTAAATAGAGAGACAAAAGTGATTTTATTTTTCCATCCAATTTCAGTTTTACATGTTAAAAAGTATCTTCAACCTTGTATACAACCAGGTTGCAACATTTAAAAAGTTTTGTGATTTATAATTGTTTTTATTGGGATCTGGATTTACCAAAAAATTGTTATGTCATTTTAGCAATTGTAAAAAATCCTCAAACCTGAAAAGAAACTTGCATCATATTATTGATAATCTGAACAATCAAGGTGATAGATTTTTCTAGGAGTCTGACAACCTTTGGCACCTCAAAAACTAAGCCAGAATAATGGAAACATGAAATGTTTACAAATTAAGACATCCCTGTGCAAAAATGCATTCCTTTTTTGCAGATGTGATCCCATTTGTGAAGAGGATAGACACTGTTGCTGCAGAGTGGCCAGCATCTACCAACTATCTGTACATGACTTACAATGCCATCAGTCATGATGTTGAATTTGATGAGGAAGCTGTCATGGTTCTTGGTGAGTCTGAAAAATGAATTATAAATCTCTTTCCATTCTCATTGTAAAAAAGGATCTTTTGGATTATTTGAACAGGTTCTGGAGTGTATAGAATTGGCAGCTCAGTTGAATTTGACTGGTGTGCAGTTGGATGTATTTGTGAACTGAGAAAGTTGGGCAGGAAGACCATCATGTTGAATTGTAACCCTGAGACAGTCAGCACTGACTATGACATGTGTGACAGGCTGTACTTTGAGGAGTTGTCCTGTGAGGTTTGTCATCCATGATTTAAAATTTATATTATTGTTTTGGATTAAATGACTTGTGGTTGTGTTTATGTATTAAACTTTCCAGGTGGTGATGAACATATATGAGTTGGAAGGGCCTGAAGGAGTGATCCTCAGCATGGGTGGTCAGTTGCCAAACAACATAGCTATGGACTTGTACAAGCAGCAAGTGAAAATTCTGGGGACCAGTCCTGTCAGCATAGACAATGCAGAGAACAGGTATGTGTCCTAAGTGTATGACCATAATTGCAAAAATCATGGATTTAAAAAATCTGAATATTTTTTCAGGTTCAAGTTCTCAAGAACCCTGGACACAATGCAGATCTCACAGCCAAGATGGAAAGAGTTGTCAGACTTGGACAGTGCCAGAGAGTTTTGTGAATTAGTTGGCTACCCTTGCCTGGTGAGGCCATCTTATGTGCTCAGTGGGGCTGCCATGAATGTGGTACATTGTCCAAGTGACCTGGAAGCCTATTTGGGACTTGCAAGTAGGGTCAGCAAGGACCATCCTGTGGTTATATCCAAGTTTATCCTTGAGGCCAAGGTTTGCATCATATATTCTCTTTTTTTAATTAATTTGAAAAGCATTTTTCTGAGTTCTTGTAGGAGTTTGAATTATGTTTTTGCTAATTTTAGGAGATAGATATTGATGCAGTGGCCCAAGATGGAGAGATCCTGTGCTTGGCAGTGAGTGAGCATGTGGAAAATGCAGGAGTCCATTCTGGAGATGCCACTTTGGTCACACCTCCACAAGACCTCAACCATGTGACATTGGCTCAAATTAAGCTCATTTGCAAAGCAATTGCTGCACAACTCAAGGTCAATGGGCCCTTCAACATGCAACTGATTGCCAAGGTTTGTTGTGTGAAATATTTGCATCACACTTGAGCCAGCCAATTTCATTTTTTTTGACAGGATGATGAGCTGAAGGTGATAGAGTGCAACTTGAGGGTCTCCAGGTCTTTTCCTTTTGTATCCAAGACCTTGGACCATGACTTTGTTGCCATGGCAACCAGGGCCATCATGGGAGAGCCAGTGGAGCCAATAGACTGTTTGGCAGGTTGTGGAAGAGTTGGTGTCAAAGTGCCACAGTTCTCCTTCTCCAGACTTGCTGGTACAGTATATGAAAACACTAATCATCCCCCCCTTGAGAATAAAATTTAAAATTTTCCAATCTTGAATAAGGTGCTGATGTGATGCTTGGAGTGGAAATGGCATCAACTGGAGAAGTGGCTTGCTTTGGGAAGGACAGGTTCTCTGCTTATCTAAAGGCTCTGCTTTCAACTGGTTTCAGGATCCCCAAGAAGACTATTTTCTTGTCTGTGGGCAGCTACAAAGTAAGTCCTTTTTGGGCTAAATTATTCTAAATACTGATTGTTCAGGTATTGTTTATTTATTCCAGCACAAATTTGAGATGTTGGGAAGTGTGAGAGTGCTGGAGAAGATGGGATTCAAGTTGTATGCCAGTCTTGGAACAGCTGACTTCTATGCTGAGCATGGCATAAATGTGAGTCATTTTTTGGTATTTTTTAAGAAAGAGGAAGCTTTATTGGAAAAGAATGCATGCTTTTATTTTGTTCCATTGTGAGGAGGATATTATTATAATAAGGGTTTGCAATATGTTTCATCACATTTGGTTATTCACAACTCACTGCTCAGAAGAATAAGGTCTGAGTCCATTCTGTCAGTCACAATTTTAATTTTCCTGGGTTGTCTGGCAGCAATTTCCTTGACCTGAGTTCTGATCTCATTGGCCTCTTCTGTGTGGGTTGGGCAGAATTCCAGCATGATGAGGGCCAGGTTGTCAGTGTGGCTAAGGTACACCTGGGCCTGTTGGTTGTTGTGCATTTCTGCACAGTGTTGTGCCATCTTGAGGAAGTGGTTGGCAAAGTGGTGAATCACCCTGGCAAGTCTGACACTGTTCATGGTCTGGATAGACTTGGTTCTCACTGGAAGGTTCTTTTGGTCTGTTGGTTTCATGCTTACAACCCTGGTTTAGGTGAGACATGCCATTAATTTGGGGAAACATGAGAGAAAAGAAGACAGATTTTGAAATATTGTCAATATGTTATACCTGGCTGCTTCTGCTTTATTATTGGCACTGTCAGCAAGTTGTTTCAACCTGGCCAACTCCTCATCCTCAACCACTGCTGGTGAATCACCTGCTGGACTACTACTGGTTGGTTCACTCTCTTCCATTGGTATCATGAGGTAGTTCTTCTCAGTGAGCAGTTTCTCCAGGCCTGGATAGTCTAGTGCAGGATAAAACCCTTGGGCAGTGCGCAGAGTCCTGAAGATCTTCACCAACTGGAGAACCAGGTTGCTGCAGTCTTCCCCATCCAACAACAAGTGGATGACATGAAGCACTTCACTTAGGCGCCCCTTTGGGATGGCATGGAGTAGATTCCTCTTTCTCATGAAGTAGTGGGGCAGTGACTTGGATTGCAGGCCTGTGTGGATTTCTTTGAGTATGTGGATGAGCAGTGAGCCCATGTTGGTTTGGGACTTCTTGCCATGGTTCTCCATGACCCAAAAGAGGACATGGGCCCATATGGACTCACTTCCTTCTGAGACCACTCCTGAGAGGAAGGCCTTGTGCAGCAGGTTGCAGACTATGTAACACCTGCAAATAATTTACAGATCCATACAATGCTGTATATATAGTATATATTCAGGAAAATATATGACCACATGTAGCACATATATCACTAAATGTAACATATATGACCAAATGTAACATATATGACCAAATGTAACATATATGACCAAATGTAACATACAGTATGACCAAATGTAACATACAGTATGACCAAATGTAACATACAGTATGACCAAATGTAACATACAGTATGACCAAATGTAACATACAGTATGACCAAATGTAACATACAGTATGACCAAATGATTCAATATATATGATCATTTGTTGTAACATATCTGGCCATATTTTGTAATGTACTGTACAGTATATGACCATATTTTGTAGCATGTATGACAATATTTTGTACAATACAGTATGCAGCATGTCCATATTTTGTAAAATACAGTACATGGCCATATTTTGTAGCGTACAGTCTATGACCATATTTTATAACATACAGTATATGACCATATTTTGTATCTTACAGTATATGGCCATATTTTGGAAACCATGACCATGTTTTGTAACATATATGGCCATATTTTGTACAAAATATGTTCAAATGTTCTACGTTTCTACCACATATTTTATATAAATACTGGTTAAATTTAAAGTCATATGCATGGAAGATTCTCTATATGTTACAACATGCAGTGTATGGAAATGGCATCAACTGATGGTAACTCAACATTACGATCATATTAATGCAGCATAGCTTACAGATTTTTAATGCAATAGAAACTAAATAGAAACTAATCAAAAATTATTCTATTGCAACTGAATGTACTTCTGACATCTTGATTGCATTTATGTGTTCTTTTCATATTAACCTTAATATTTGGTCATGGTGTCTGTGAGTTGAATAGCCTTTCTGTATTTTGCTAAAGAATTTGCAAGTACAGTATTGTAGTTCAAAAATTACAGCATTTCATTCTCAAATTCAGATTGTTCAGTATTTTTTCATGTAAAATTGATGACAAAATTTTATGATGGCCTAGATTTGTTTTTTTTTTCATGCTGAGAACTTCAACTTTAATAATTTGTGAATCATTTTTATTTGAAGGCTTTTACATTTAAATTTTCCTGCAGCATTTTCAATTAAATTATTATGAATTATTTAGCTGCCAATACAAATGAATTCCATTTTCAATTAACAGCGCACTCTCAAATATGATGATGTACCTCATGTGTGCATAAGGCAGGTGTAAGAGCAGTTGGTGTTCCAGCCTGCTGAACTGAATATCCCAAGCAGTCACGACCTTTGACTTGCCTGGCACCTTATTGGGCACCCTCATGGGCACCAGGTTGCAACCCAGAGAACCCGCCCTGGCCACAAAGTCCGCACTCGGCCAGTTGTGCTTCCTCTCTCTCAATTTCCACTCGAAGCAGGAATTTGGCAAGAATGCCACTGGGATCGTGGGGCAACACGTGAGTTCTGCCAAAGTGCCGGATTGCGTGAAGGACATTTTGACGACGGGGCACATCTTTTTCGGACTGTGGACTTCTTCCGTTTCCACCTGCAGCTTGTCCATCAGCTTGGGGAACGAGTCGTCTGCAAAGTAGTTGAAGAAGGGCTGGGATGCCAGCACAGGGGCATATTCTTGGTCTTTCTTGGCCATTTGGTAACCCTTAAGTGGGAAGAAATTTCATAATTTCAAAGCGACTCTTTTACTACTGGTATCTTTTTTTTTCTTAGTTACTTCAGTGAATATATCTGATGTTATTGTTGCAGAAAAGGGGATTTTTCTGTGATTTTTTTTTTGAAAAAAATTGCATGTAGGATCAAGTTTTTTGGATTCTCTCCATCATGAAAAATCCTGATTAGCTCTTTCAAAAACAAACTAGTAATTTGTTTTTTCTTTTGTGAAAATTTCAGTGTTTTTTGTTTTTTTACTTTGAAGGTGAATCTTTAAATCAAAATTGGAATATTGTATTTTAGAAATTGTGTTCAAAAAATATTCATCTTTGTGTCCTGCAATGGTCTCTTCTTTTCAAAAATATCAATATTAATAATAATAAACCTTACATAATGAAGTGAAGATCATTTTACTGCTGAATTGGTCATTTTTTTGTTTGTGTTGAAAAATTTATTCATGCGTCAAAAATGTTGAATTCTTGAGTCATTCTAATATTTCAGTCATTCTGCTGTACAGTACTTTATTTTATTAATATTTGAAATATATGAGACCCACTTGAGAGAATTTGTTACTCCTTCCACAATGAGAAATTTTACAAAAATGTATACTAAATATGTTTGGGATGATTTATCTTAATTAATGTGATTCTTAGGGTTGTTTATGGTACTGTTTCAGAAATTATAATGCACTATATGAAAAGGTGAAGAGGATTTAGATATCTGACTCAATATTAGAGTTTTAAAACATTTATCATATTGAGTACGCTAAATGAATTGTCAAGAAATGTAAAATGTGAGCCAATGGTTATATTTTATTGGTAGAATATCCTTTTCGGGTTAGATGATTTATTATTTCCAAAAAGATGTGACATAAAAGAGAATTGAGAGAGCCAGTTTAAACTCTGTGTCCTGTGTACCAGTGTTCCCCAACTTATGGTCCATTGTCTGGTGATAGTCTGCAGAAGTTTTATTTTTACAGTCTGGGGGAAATTTTCTGCATAATTAATTTATTGAAAGTTGGGATGAAGGCTGTTCCCTTTACCTTAAACTTTGAAAGGACAATGAAATTTGAATTATCTGTTGAAAACAAAAGTTGGTTTTTCTCCTAATAATGCTTCCGGCAAATTTTCACTGGCTGAAATAAATTATTTAAATTTTGCATTCTGAGAAACATTTTTCTAAGCCCACCTTTCTGATTGCTTGATGACATTCTCAACTGCACACTCAAGCAAAAATTTGGCAAGATTTCAAACATTTTATTAAACTTTGTCATTCTGTAGAAAATTGTTTGGGAATTTGCCGATCGGCAAACATTATTTTGTAAATTTGCCAGTCTGCAGGCCCAAAAAAGGTTGGGAAACACTGTTATATACAGTATCTTCTACAGCAAGCACAATACAATAAATTGAAGACATTTTTGCCAAACAAAAGAAAACAAGAATTATGTCTTACTGGTATGACATCCTCAGGGTTGGGTGGCATGAGTGCCTTCCTGAAGCACTTGTGTGGCAACCTGATGTTCTCTGGCCTGGAGGCATCCAGTGCATCACCCCACTCATCATTGATGCTGTAAGTTGACCCTGCTCTGCCAGTACTGTTGGTCACACCATCATCCACTGTTAATGATTGTTGGTCAGTGTTTATTGAGGCATCATCTAAGCAGTCCATGCTGTTGATGGACATTGCCCTTGACATGGGCTGACTGATGGACTCTCCACCTAATGATGAGGAGATCTTTTGGGATGGTGCTGTGATGACCTTGAGGTCATATACACCTGTTGTAGTGGAAAATACCCCATTTTATTATCAAATTTTCATTTCCCCTGTTTTCCAGAAGAGGAGAATATTGCTGTGTGGCATAATTACTATACATCATGTTTACTTTTCCTCCCCAAAATTCAATCAAGAGGAAAGTCAGTACATCAGTAAAATGTTTTTCACAATTTTCTGAGTGTCAGAAACCCTCTCACTTATACATCTCCTCATTTTTAACCCTGGTGACCATTTCACAGAGGTCTTTTGCTATTACTGGAAAGGAATTGGGATCTTGAGAAAAACTCATGCATGGAAATTTTATTTATTATGATATAAAGGAATGGTCCCTAGGTAAGTCAAAATGTAAGATCTTCCAATAAAATATGGAAAACAATGATCACATAATTTGAAGTTCAGCCCAAAACCTTTCTTGAGTCTCTCTTCAAGCACATTTCTTTTCTTGAATCCCTCTTCAAGTACATTTCATGTAATTGTAATTTTTTTCAATTTTGACTCATTTTTCAACTATTCCCACAGTAATTTTGTTTGAAGAAAAAATGAGGCAGTCATTTCATTGCTCAAAGGGACTAAAGAGGTAGATTATATGTAGACTTGCCTTCCTTATCCAATCCGTGGTCGAGTCACCACATTCACGGACGTCTTCCAAGGTGGAATAACATCCGGAACAGAACGTGGACCTACTTCAACACACGTTACATCAACAGGTTCCTACGGTCCTCTGGTCCCAAGAAGGGGTTGTTCTTTTCCAGTCTCACATTCTCTGTCAACTTCTCCTGGAAAGCACTCATGGACCAGGCTGCCCTTCCCCATGACACCAGATGACTAGTCATTTCCTCTTCCTCTTGCTGCTGTATGTCCAGGATTTGAAGCCTGTCTCTGTTTATGGGTGTTTTTTTTGTGTGGGTGTGTTGATAAGAATACACATTATTAATTAAAGCTATGGATAAGATCAATATTCAGTACATTCAATATTTTGATCATTCAAAATAAAATAGCCAAATAGACATATTTACAAAAAACTTTCACTGCTATTTTCTTGTCCTTCAAAGCAAAATATTATAGAAATGAGCAAAAAATTTATTTCAATTTCATCAATATTCTCATGCTGGAACATACTGTATTTTATCTGATAATGAAAGTATCATATTTCAAATGCATGTTGAATGAGTGAGTTTGCTGGACTGTGAAAAAACTTTAGAACAAATTAGTTAGCATATGGCAATGAATTGGCAGAAAGGCCAGTTTTTTTTTTTCAAGTTTTGGCATATCAGGATGGACCATCAGTCCTTCCCAATTCATTGTAACAAATGGGACTTCTCTGTAGGCAGTTCAACAATGAAATGTGATCTTTCAAAATTAAAATGTTTCTGCACAGTATTTTTATATTAAAGATTGTTTCTTGTTGTACGTATTATTACTTAATTGAACTTTTATTCAGTACTCGTAAAATATTTGTTTTAACAGGTAGACGTTTGATATGTAAAAATATTTATCCTTCGCCTTTAATATAAAAAAAAATGTAGATTTTGTAGCTAAATACTTTCTTGATGAAAATATCAAAGTCTTATTATTAGGTTGGTTTAACATGGATGTTGTGCATGGTTTGATGAATGTCAAAATACTGTGTATGAAAGTTTTCATTTCAACTCATCAGCAAAGATGAATTACTTCTTCAAATTTCTGAGTTGAATTCTTTTCAATGATTTATGATGCAGTATGTAGTTGTACTAGTTGAAGGGGAGTTTTTATTAAAGAGAAAATACCCAAATTGTGGTTTTTTTTTCTGTTCTGGATGATGGTTTGGATGGAAGAATTATGTAATTTAAATGGTCAACTTGATTTTTTACCATGTTGAATTCTCTGAAGTGTTGAATTTTTAAGAAAGCTCACATTTATTTGGTTCTTTTTGGTTTCAGTGTTAGCTAGGGTTTAGGAAAATGTTGTCAAAATAACAAACTATTCCCTTGGCGTATAAGATCATTAATTCTAAATTTGAATCCACTTTAAACCAATATCACATATTGATGTGCTGCTTTTTAAAACAGGTTGACTCACATTTTGCTTTTCAGTTTTCAGTATAATGGTGTTTTCAATCTTAGTCATCTCAAATTTTGTACAGTTTTAATATATATAATATATCAGATTTAATATATTTAAAATACCCTCAAACTCAATTTTTTTAACGCAGCAATCATCCAGATACTCCCAGTTTTAGATTAGGTAGAATTCAGATTTTTCTCAATTTATGATTCACAAGAAGTTGAGTCATTATCTTTTACTATAAATATATAGGCCTATTTTTAAGCGTCATAATTCCTTTGAAAAGGTTTTTGGTTCCAAATTCTCTGAAGTTTTATAGATGAGTAATTTTTAGTGCTTTGAAAATATTATGATGCTATGAAAATTTCAGTAATATAAGGCTTGAATTAAAATTTTATAATTTAATCATATTATCGAATCAACACTTGTGTCAGTTAGACACACGAATTAAATAAGGATGAATACCAAAGTTACATGTAAAATTTTCATGACATATTGTTACAATCTTCTCTTTAACTCACTTTGTGTAATCATTGAGGAATTCCACACTCAAGAGAAGGTTGTTGAGCACAAAAAGAGCAGGTTGCTGGACCAGATCCTGCTTCATGTCCTTGAAATTGGCCAGTTTCCTCTGTAGGCCAGCATTCATCTTCTTTTCTATATCTGTGGCCTGTCTCCTCAATTTCACTGTAGGCCCTTGTTCTTCTTCTTCTTCAGTATTTTTTGGGGTCATTTTTGCTCCTGATGATGATGTTTCTGCTGCTGGCCCAACATTCACAGGTCTGGACTGGCAGCAACCCATTTCAATAAAACTACACCACACTCAAAGTCAAAACTGTGTGAAGCTCACACTTTTTCTCACCTTCTCTGGATTTCTTTTTCCCTCAACACTCTTATCTCATAAGCATTTTAGGAATTCCCCAAACTTTTTGAGAGAGAGACAATAGAGATTAGATTCTGGGTCTCAGACTTGTCATGTCATTCCTTTTTTCATCTGTACCATTCAAAGGTCATGGCATTTTTAGAAAGAGGGGAGGACCTGAAAGTTGACCCAAGGCTGACTTGAATTTTCACTGGAAAGAAACACATGTTCAATTAATTTTATTTTTGCATCATTATATTATTTGAAAGTGTTTTTTTTTTAAGCTGGTGCTGCTGGTGATTGAAAAATAAGAGATGAAGATAACACACACACACACACAGGTGTGGATTTTGTCATGTTTGAGATAAGACCCTTAACCTACACAACAACCTTCAGTAATTGTCTCCTTCCTTAAAATGTCGGAACATATAAACAGACCCATATAATAATCAAACATGGTTTCTTCAACTGACTACACACACACACACACACAGAGAAGAAAAAAAATGGGGGTTGAAATCCATAGATAGAAGCAGTGGAATGGCCATTTCCTGACTTGAGTGAGGCATCACCAGGGTTGCCAGAGTCAGATGAGCTGAACAATGTTGGGGACTTTTTGTCCAGGAAGGAACTGGATCTTGTCATCAACTTGCCAATGAGGAATGGAGGTTCCAGGAGAGTGTCCTCTTTCATTACCCAGGGGTACAGGACCAGGAGGATGGCAGTGGACTATGCAATCCCTCTGGTGACTGATGTCAAGTGTGCCAAGTTGCTGATTGAGGTAAGAGGCACTTATTGTACTAAAACGTACATGTACAGTGTATTTTTTTCCCCTTTTTGGTTGGAAACTTTTTTTAATAATTATTTCTTGTGTGGGTAAATGGAAATTTAGAATTTTAAAGAAATGGATATATGGTAAATGATTCAAACATATTTTTTGTGCTTGCTACAAAAGGCAAAATTTTAATTTTCAAGCACAATTTAAAATTTTCAGGTGGGATAAAAAATTAACACTGCTTCAAAAATTGGTTTAAAAGTTTGTTTTTCTTCCTCTCAAACAGTTTTATTTTTAAGCTTACAATGTTGTACCAGAAAGTTTCTTCTCAGGTGTGAAAATCTGACACAAATCTTGCCCATGATTTTTAAAATTATAATTTCCATGCATGCTTTTTTTCTTGTCTTGCCAATGCTTACAACAATCTTTTGTTGGATATGTTTTCCCCAATTGTGAGAAACTAGAGCAAAATTTTGTCTGAGATTAAAAAACTTTTCTTCAAAACAGTCATTTGATTTTGCCAATGTTTACAATTTCATGCTGATAATGATTTATTATTAGTGCATACCCAATATAAACACATGGTGGTGGTTTCTCACAATTGTGTGTTTGTTTCTCTTTGTTGTTGTTTTTTTTTAATATTGAAAAATGTGTACAGCATGCAAAAATTGAATTTGATTTTTGCCAATTTTTTATATTTCATGATGCAAATTTCTTCCCTCAATCCAAGTGTGTGTACCAAGTGTTAACAAGTTTTTGGAGTCTCTCATAATTTTTTCTTTTTTGTTACAGGCTTTGCAGTTTGTGGGTGGTGAGCCCAAATTGCAGACCTCAGTGGACTGTATCAGTGCTGGACGTGTGGCAAGACTGCCTGGACTGGTGGACATCCATGTTCACATGAGAGAC